AGCCTCAAAACCCTATATGAACAGTGACAGTGCCTTAGAGGGATCCGTTCCTTTCCATTATTTCATTCGGTTTCAGGCTCCATTTTGTTATTATTATATACCTAGTACATTTGTTAACAGTGCAGCATTCAGTAAATGAAAGCAATCTTTCAGGCCAAAATGTTTTTCATTCTCAGGACAGAATTGTAAGCTGAAGCCAATGGTGGCTTAATGACCCAATGATTATAGTCGAGCAGCTATAAATAAAGTAGCAGAAAACAGAGCCTCTTAATATAGGTGGTGTTTCAAAATCCCCTCGAGATCAACTGCGTGAGCCTCTTAATATAGGTGGTGTTTCAAACCCCCCTCGAGATCAACTGCATACATTGACTGTGTGCTTATACAAATTAATGCTTGGGAATTAAAAAACAAAACTTTTGACAGAGTGAGGAAATTTTTTTTTTTTAAAGTTTAAGAGTTAAAATTAACAACACTTCTTTAAACTGCAGTTAGCAAGAGATATATTTAAATTGTGATATCATTGTTTCTTTATCTGTTAATAGGATAAATGTCATGTTTATGGATCAAAACTTACAGAATGGTGTTCCATAAAAATGTGTGAAAAAATATTGATATGTGCCCCTTTAATTCCTATATTTAAATGTAAGTTGTCACAGTTGTGACAAGTATTGTCTTGTTTTATTCAGCTGCAGTGTTCTTAGAGATAGAAGCACCAGTCAGAGTAGCAGGATACTTAATCTTCCGTGATGTGATTATACTATAGGGCTGCCAGTTGGACTTAAGAGCGCACTTAGTGTGTGATACATGACCAATAAAGGTTAATAATTATTAGGAGTGGAGTAGGAAGTTCAGATATTTGTCTTTCACAGCCTTTCAAACACTTGCAGTGATGTACATGGTGGTTGGCAACTTGGGACATGCATGATGTATGGAGTATGTTGGAAAGTTTTGACGCATTCATGTATGTTTACATGAAATGTGTGTGAATCAGTTATTGAAACACGGGATGAGAAAATATAAACTTATTTTTGCTCTGGCTTTCACATTAAAGCATTGTGCACGCCAGTACAGTTCATGTCACTTGCTGTACCCTGCTTTCAGGACCAATTTGCTTGCCAGGTGGCCACCACCTCTCACATGCATAGTTACAAGAATGAGAATCAACACTCCAGGGGCATTTCTGTGGTAAGTGGAGTTGGACCACAATAACCAAACTGTTTTACATGATTTGAAGCTTTCGCAGTGAATAAATTAAATAAAATATTCTTGAGCAATCATCCCTGTCAAGCGAAGAGACTGATGTTTCGGGAACCATCTCTGTCCCCATTGTCATGGTTCCGATGTCATCAGATGGTTCCCGAAACGCTTGTCTCTTTGTGCAACCATTTGACGCGGCTGATTGCCCGAGGAGATTCTACTGAACCAAGCCGTGTACTAACCAGTAATCCCTGAAGTTGCCATGCCGCATATTCTTTCATCGTATGAAATTATTGTTTATCATACAGGAATAGAGGATTTAATGCCCCTCGAATCCTACACAATATTTGTAGGTTACGTTAGGTTAGTTTAGTTTAGTTGAGTTGCGTTGCGAGTGTGATTAAACTTTATTCCACAGATATATGGAATTTGAACCCCCAGACTTTGGCTAAGCTGTGGGGATTAACAGTTAGTGATTTGCAATTGCGATGCATGGCCACCCGGATCGCGTGGAAGCATTGACACATTCCATAAAGGTTAAGGGACAGTTACAGAGCAAGTGTGTAAACATTCAAATTCTCTTTCATTTGTATTGTCCAATCATATTAAGAAACCAAATAGAACAACAGTTGATTGAGTCTGTTAGCAACAAAATGTTGAATATGTTGATGATTTCCATTTGATTTAAATCACTTGTTATATCAGAAATAAGTAAATAGTGCTCTCATTACAGTACAAGAATTATGTGTTTAACATCATTACATTGGCCATGCTTGTAGAATATTTGTAAAATGTGATTGTCATTGTAGGTTAGGTCAGGTCTTATGCGGATTGTTGTGAACAAAGAGGCATTTTATATATTTTTCATATTAATGATGCTGATAACGGCTTTTTACATCTTTGGCCGCAATTTTCTTGCAGCCTGTGTTATTGTGCTTTTCATTAATGTGTTTTGTGGTGTTATATAGTGAGCTGTATGAAATTGGTTGTTTTCTGAAAAACTTTATTATTTTTCTTTTGAGTACCTTCTTCAGAACCAATGGATCTGACACGTAGAAAAGTAAGATCATAATATTGCATGAACATACTTCACTTTGGGAGAAACTGCATAGCAGCGTGGGGTCAGTTTGAGAGCTGTTAACAAGATTGTAAAGCTGAAATATTAGACTCCCTTGATTTCACCTGAAAGGTAGGGACTATGTGGTTAAAAAGCAAAACAACTTTGTATGGTATGTAAATGGGGTGGACAATGACGGTTCCCTTGGGAAGTAGAACATTTACTAAAAGAGAAGTGTTGTAAATTTTGAATTATATATTCTGTATTTGATCTGGTTTCATGGAAGATAATGAAAAGTTACGTAGACATATATAGTAAGATTGTGAATTATAGCCCCAGCTGTGCAATTACGTCACTTCTGGTTTTGGACTTTGTAAATAACAGGAAAAATTTGGGCTGACGTATCAGATTCTGAAAAGTGGTACTGTGTCCTGAGGGCTACAGGTGTGTTAGGGAATAATCATTTGTATGTAAACATTTACATTCCGCCAACTATGCCATAAACAAAGATGAAGTATGAAATAAGATTGGTACAAAAAAATGAGTAGTTTGAAATAAGCAGAGGATTTTTGGTCTAGCCTCTGCGTCCAGACCGGTTCTGGGGCCGACCCAGTTTCCTATCCAATGGGTACCGGGGTCCTTTACCAGGGGTAAAGTGCAACTGGGGCATGATGCTGACCACTAAACCCTTCAAGTGCCAAGGTTTAAGAATGAGTAGGAGCTATGCCACTTCTTCCCCTAAGTGCCGACGTCGTGTGTAGTGGGATACTTACTTGTTTACCACAGGTGGTAAATTACAATTTTAAAGTTAGCAACTTTTTAATTTCCTAACAGCCATGAAGTAGTTTGTGGTTGATCATAACTACATTTTATTTACAAAGTTTTTCCTTAGGTAAGTCAGTTAAGATTTATATTATGCACTAGTAGGAAGTTTCATAGAGTTTGAATTATTTAACCTTTATTGGTTGTGCATAATGGCTTACACACAGTCCAGCTGGCAATGTGTCACACTTGCATACTGCTAACCTAACTTAGCCTAACCCCGAAGCTGAAGTATAGCAACAACCCTGTAGGTTGGAGGTATGAATTTCCCTTTTCCTAAACAATAATGTTTATTATTGCCTCATGTATATTTTTATTTGCGCTGTGAATGGTTATGACATCACTTCTGTTTTAAACCACATGAAAGGCATTACTCTTGTATTGTAAATAAACTTGTTTCTGTATACTGTTTATAATAATGTATGCAAATTATTTGTACTGTACAGTATGACCTAAGACACTGAAGTGGTTTACACTTGTTTTGTGCTTTTCTAAATGTTATAAAATAAAATTGCTTTAAAAGTTAGGAATACCTTCATTGTCCAGTAAAAAGAGAAGGTGGGGACGTTCAAACTTTAACTCCTTTTTCATATTTAGGAGGTCTCAGGTTCATATCTAAGTACAGATGTCAGCTATTGTGGCATGAGTTTTTTCATGGGTTTCCTCATCCATTTGAGACACATTACAGGATATCTTTAATCAGATTCCACAAACATTGGAATCATTTTATGCTAAATAATGTTAGGAACTGAAAGTGTTATGTAAACAGTCAAGAATAAAAAGTGTGCAATATAAGCTTGTGTACTGGACGTCTAAAATACCCACTCCTATTTTAAATGATCTGCATATAACAGAATGTTGGCCATCTCTGGCGTGTGTTATAATTCACTTTATTATGGAATTGTTTCAGATGATGCCAACATCAGCAGATCCTAGCTCAGTGCAGTACAGTTCCATGATTCCACAGTTGGCAACACACATGTCAACATTGCAGCTTGGTACTGCTGGATCAGTAAGTTTGTAAAATTTATTTCTTATTTCTCTATCAACATCATCTCTGAAAAATGTTTTCATTCTTCATTGAGAAGGATAAGTTAAAAGTTGCATTGTCAGAGATGAGCTACTGGACAGGTACTCGAGAAACATGCTACTTGTCACAGCGTGCGCGCACACGCAGCACCAATCATGTCAGTTTTATGGGTTCTGGTGATGGTATGTTATGCTCAGGATTACTGAATTCTTGGACTTTGTCCATCATCTGGTATTCAAAAGAACACATTTGAGAAACTGCATCTGTTTCTGTCCTGTGATGAAAAGGGGAAGGACACCTTCTCAGTTGGGTCCATTAGAAAGAGCTAACCTGTGTCCAGGAACATGTGTTCTTTCAAATACCAGACGATGGATGGAGTACATTTAGTAATCTTATTGATAATGTTTTCAAAGGACCTGCACATAGAGATTCCCAACATTACGAGTTGCATGTGCTCATTTCCCCATTGCTTGGGTTCTTAAGAATCTGTTAAGTCTTTGGTCCTGTGTAACATTTCGTAATATGCTGGTTTTTGTGGCAAGTTATTAGCCCCCTTTACCCTATCCCCAAGCTAGAGAACCATTCCTTCTTGGTTGTCTGCAACTGCATGCTCATTATATTCTCAGTTACTGTCCTCGATTGGCTGTCTGAGGACACACCATGCTGCGGTTACAGTGGACCCATCTGATGTGGGTGTTTTTACACTGGTTGAGTAAACATACTGAGTCTTGAATTAACCATGTCAATTTCAGACTGGTTATGCCATGATAATGCATTGAGGTAGTCCACAACCACAACATCTCTGTGTCTTTGCTGGTGAATTGTTCATCCTAAAACAGTGATAAGTCAGTTCTAAAGGGTTTTGACACTGATAGTTTACACTTAAAATTATTTGTTGTCAGGACTTTTTCCATCGTCTGTAGATACCAATAACTGTCTGCAACACTTGTTCTAAGTTACCCAGTAGACTCTTATCTCTCAAGGACACCAGTGACATGTTTTTTCTTGCTTATAGGACACTGGTGGTAGGTTCATATCCTCTCGAACAGAGGATGGCAGTAGTGGATTCTTCTGTGTTTTTATGATGTTTGGGTTTTAATGTCCTTTGACGACTTGGATGCCAACATTTTTAGCAGGGATTTTATGTCAATTTTTAGCAGGGTTTTATGTCCATTTTTAGCAGTTTCAGAACTGGTTGCTTACAGAGCTGTATGAGTGGTCTTATAATTTTTATTTTATCATTTAAGTATTATAATCTACTGACAGAACCCGTACTTGGGTGGATGAGTTGGAATAATTGCACGATTTATATTGTCCAGTGACAGAGACTAGCTCTATCTAAGCGACCCAACAGAGTAGGTACCTCTCACCTGAAGACGGAGACAGAACCAGCCTCTGAAACGTCGTGATTTTAAAGATGATGGAAAAAGTCCTGACAACAAATAATTTTAAACGGTGATAAGTCCTTATAAACATGTCTGCAATTCCTTAGTTTTCAAGTTAGAGCACTTCTTACGTGCTTCAGTTTGATGGACAAGGTGCCTGGTGAGCATACCATACCGTACCATACAATATCATTCTGCTGTGTGCCAGATTGCGTATCACACAGTGGTGATGCATATGTTTATTATTGAAACTCCATATGCAAACAGATCACTAGGCAGTGTTAGTCAGAATCTCCCTCTAACTGTACCTCCTGCTCTGTATAGTACTGTTTGTCTAGCTCTGCTGTGTCAATAACTTTATTGTCACCAGTCTTCATCCATAAATCGGACAGGTCTCAGTACTTGATAGTCAGCCATCTGTAGTTATGATCACCAGCCTCTATTTTCTGTCATATTTGAGTACCCTGAGGATGAGGACGAAGATAGTTTTTTAAATGGTGGTGTTTTCTCCATTAAACGACCTTACGCGGCTGGTAGCCCAAGAAGAATTAATTGGAAAATATGTATGTCTATTATAGAAACACTGTATAGTCATTATCTTATCTCATTCAACACAAATAATGTTTAAAGCCAATACACAGCCAGAGTATCCATAACAGAAGAGCACATCGTACATCTGGCTGATGATGGGATCACTGGTGTGTGGTTGTGATCATGGTAATGAATCTTCAAGTTCTGTACAAAGTGGGAAGATCTTGAGTAGCTGAGCTAATGTTAGCTTCTCAAGAACTCTGCTCCATGGAGTCAGTTACATAGTTTGGGCATTTTGAGCTTCATTTTAATTAATAACTAAATATTCACAGACAGCAGTTTAATATGCTGTGTTGAGAATTATGAGCATTTATGTCTCAGATTGAAGGCCCAGGTGAATTTCTTGGTTCAGCTAAAGCACGAGAGTCAGAAAGACTTCTTTGTTACATTGCAGGCCTCATTGGCCTCGGTGCCCATTTAAATAAGACGCAGAGCAACATGAACTCTGCAATACCTTTTTCTATGTGTATGTTTGTCATTTTTCAGTACATTGCAAGCCCACATCCGTACCCTTTCTACCATGGACCAGGTACGTCCATCATCCATGCTGTGCCCATTGCGGACTCTGAACAGACTTCCAATGCTGCCTCACCAGATGACAATTATCAACCATACCAAACCAACCAGGCACCCAAGTAAGCAAGCATGTGGTAAGTAGACAGCTGCACAGTGCACTGGCTATTAGTGGTCATGATACACATGTTCACGTATGGAAAATGTACTCCATTTGTCAGACTTGTATCCTTGGGCAAAATCCCAGTTGAATTTTATTACTTATTTTAGAGTATCAGTGACACACACTGTGAAGTCATGTAGAAGTGTCAGTGGTAAAGAAGATACATGGTAGAATACTTATCAAATTGAATGATTGGCTGCGGCAAGTAGTGATCATAGTTTGTGTGATGGGTTGCTGTGCCAGCTTACTGTCATCCTGTATTGAAGTACAAAGACAAAGTGTTTTTTGTCATTTGTAATTTATAAGTTTGGACAAGGTTGATGTCTACTTCAATAAAATATTTATCTCACCATGGTACAATTTGTAACAAACATAAGTGGTAATAGTCTTTCTCTTCTTTGCTATGTATTAGGCGGAAGGGGTCTCGCCAACTTTCTTTTAGTCGACTTATCCTCTTGTGTGAGATTTATATTCAGTTACTAGTTTATTAATCTTGTAACCCTTCATGCAGTGTAGTTTTGGATATGGTAATTTCTTATACCAGCAACTTTTATTATCCTAGTTACCATGTTAAATAGACATACACATTTGTTTCATCCCTCATAATGCTGTTGTCAGCATCTTCCTCAGTGCTTTATCAGTTGGTTAGAAATTTATCTTTATGACACTGTGGGTAATAATATTTTGTGCCCTTTAAACTTTAAACTAATTAAAATTATAACCTTTTTGTAATTTAAAATGTTGTATTAAAGACGTTGGTAAAACATAGGAACGTATGAGAGAAAACTACATTTCAGCCGGACAATGTCTCGCCATTATGAATTAATGCATCATAAACCATGGTTTGACAAAGGATGTTAGGAATTATTAGATAAAAGTAAGTAGTTGTTGCAGAATCCAAGCCATGCACATGGAGAAAATATGAACAGTTATTGTTTGAAGTTAGTAGAGCTTCAGGAATAAAACGGAATATCTGAAAGACAAAATTAATGAGCTTGAAACAACAGTAACAAAAATATTTGAGACATTTGCAGAGGCATAAATGAATGTAACAAGGGTTATCAACCTAGAATTAACTTGATTAAAGATGAAGTGGTGATCAGCTTGCACATTTCGATGTCTAGCAAATGAAAAAGAACTCTCCCCCTCTCTCTCTACCCCCCACTTCAATGTCTGCTGTTAGATTGAGTAACTTGGTCACTCTGTCACCTTCGTTAGGGATTGGTGGTGAAATCTTGTGTACTTGTTGATGAACCTTTGGGTTCCTTTCAATCAAAGATGGAGAATTTTTTGACTAGCTGAGCTACTGTCAGAAGGAAATTACTTACGTACGTAGACTCTCTCCAGTCACACTTAAAGTGCTGATTAATTTGATTGAGTTAGCATTTGGGTTTTTCTAAGCCTTCTGAAATTGAATGTAGTTGAACTAGAACGTGAAACCTTTTTTTTTTTAAAAAAAGAGGGCATAGCCATGTAAAATATTTCATTTTTATGACATTTTGTTTTATGTGGTAAAAAGCCTTTTTAATTTTATGAAACAAAATTGATGCAAAGGGGGTGATGTTGGTGATTGTGTTTAATATTTACCTGTAATCATGCCCACTAGTAGAATAGTGATGTGTGCAGTATTAGCTGCATTGTTTGCTGTGCTATGCTGTGCTGTTGCATTTTATTAAACCAATGCAGTGCAATTGTATGTTGTTTATGTTGCTAAAAGAGAAAGTGGTTGGAGAATATTATCATTGCTTACCGTAATGTATGAACACACTTAACCATACAGTACAGCTTTTGCGCATTGGGGCCATAACTGTGCAGTAACCTAGCATCAGCCATCTATTTTGTGTTTGAAGATTGTCTTTAAAGTTGGTTTTTTGCCAGTAGCTTATGTGATCGATTGCGTAGGCTGCCATTACTGTCTGGTATAAAATTTTTAAGAAAGTTCAAGGGGCTGTGTGTAAATGAAAGAGTTTGTTGGTCTGTTAGGACCATATCTCTCTGTGCTTAGAGTTTAAAATGTTTGAATATTATTGAACTTCTGATTTTCTTATTGAGGACATATTAATGGACATATACATTCCAATCAGTCTTAATGTGTAAACTCCCTGCCCACCTCTGATACGGCTGGCTTACGAGTCTTGTTACTTGTATAACATTTTCGAAGGTACTTTCACAATCTTGCTTATACCAGATTTCTTATTTATGTCATTGTCGGCAGTTGCCACTCTGACATGAGAGTGGCATTTGGGGGTGGGGGTGGGGCGGCATACTACTACTGTCATGGCACATAATTGCTTTTGATTAATTTTGTATACATATTTCTAGGAACATGCAGTTGGAAGTTTTTATGTGTATGGACAGACACAAGCTTACATCAAAATATTGTTCCATCTACTTTCTCTTGACATTTCTAACATTTGATTTCAGGCATGAAGATGTGCTGGTGTTTCTTAACACAAGCTCTTACTAAAGTGGGATTTATATACAGTAGAACCTCGATATACTGCGGCTGTGATCATGTCCCCAAATACGATTACATGTTTTACGTCATACAAATTTTGATGAATTGTTTTGGTTACATTGTAAGACTATTGCAACATTCCTTGCTATAGTGTGTGGGTACAGAGGTCAAAGTCCATAGTCCACTATGATCAGGTATATTTCTGGTTTCTTTAACCTTGTGGCTATTTTATTCAAACAGCAAAATTTAGTGAACACCACGTTTGGTTGAAACAGGAACAGTTGCATTGTTCTGATGCTATTTTTTTTGACGTAAATACGTCTATGAGGAAGGGTCATTCGGCAAAAAAGTGTAACGAAAAAGTGTAAGATGGTTTTCCAACCATCAGTATTCGAGCATTTAGAGTGGTCTGTGCCAGTAGCATTGGTAAAACATAAGTTTGAACTGTACCTTAAATTTCATGTATTAAAGTCATTAGATAAATATATATAATATCAGGGATTCCAAAATTATATAAATGTCAAATTCACATACAGCGCGGATACTGAAGCTGTCCCCCCGAAACCCACGTTATATTGATGTTCCACTGTATTGAAATGTGACGAAAAAACTGTGCATATTTTCTTGCATGATACTATAGACTTCTTATAACCACAGTTCTTTGTGTCAATTTTTACGCTTAATTATTTTGTTGGTAAATTATTTACAAGTGTGTAAGGTGATGTACCTAACATATCAGAGGTCTATACTGCATGGGTTTAAACACTAAACTTTCCTTTTCAGCAGTGTTATAGAATGAAAAGTTTTGTAATACAAAGGGAAATTTTATTTAGTGAAATCCATCCTGTTACATGCCAGTGTTGGCATTTAGAGGACAGGAGGTATAGCTCCTACTCATTCTCAACCTCGGCACCAGAATGGGGTGGCTGATGCCCCAACCATGCTTTACCACTGGGAAAGGACCCCAGTACCCATTGGACAGGAGTCTGGGTGGGCCTCAGAGTTGGTCTGGACTCGGAGGCTAGAAGAAAATCCACTGCTTCTATCAGGGTTAGAAACCCGATCGCCCATCCTGTAGCCAGTCACTATACTGACTGAGCTACTTGGCTTACAGTTTTATTTAGGAGATAGTACTATATTTGCTACAGTACACAGCTTCATTCATTGAGCTGCCTGCAATAGGATGGGCTGAAAAGAGAATTTTTCAAAGGAAATAATAAAAACACTTCTCTTTTCTTTACATGCTCAGTAGCTGTTAATTATTAAATACTAAGAAGATAGTAATTCATCCATATCATATTGCTGACTGTGTTAGAGCATAACAAATAGTTTCATACTTAACACGTGTGACAAAGATGGCATTCTTCATTATATTAATGTGCGGTTTCACTTTACTTCTGCCTTTTGTAGAACAAAATATTGATTCTTGGTGTAAAACACAGAAATACCTTGTAACTGAACATCTCCTGTCTTTAATTTCCACTTCAATCTGCTTGTTTGGTGCTAATAACATTTCTAGAGGTTATTGTAAGCATTTAAGTACCAGGATAAGTGAAATAAAAGTCAAAGGTACAATTGTCCTGGTATACGAGGTCTGTCCAAAAAGTATCCGACGTTGGGCCGGGAAAACAAAGTTCTGTATCTCGGGGGTTACAATACCTAATCCCTTTCAAAGTAGGCCCCTTGTGACTCCACACACTTAGTCCAGCGGTCTTTCCATCGCTGGAAGCAATTCTGGAAGGCTTGTTTTGGAACGGTGTGCATCTGCACCGTCGCGTTCTGTATGATGTCCTAGCGGCTGTCAAAACGGGAGCCTTTTAGGAGTGTCATCATTCTCGGGAATAACCAGAAATCACAAGGAGCCATGTCAGGAGAGTAGGGAGCCTGGCAAACCTGCGGAATGCCGTGCTTGGCCAGTAAACCCTGGATCAGGTGTGATGAATGAGCTGGGGCGTTGTCATGATGCAGCTGCCGGTTGCGTGCGTCCCACAGCTCTGGTCTCTTGCGCCGAACTGCATCACGAAGATGACGGAGTACTTCTTGGTAGTACTCCTTATTGACAGTTTGGCCTAGTGGTGCGTACTCATGATGCACAACACCCCGGTAATTGAAAAAAACAGTCAGTATCACCTTCGCATTGCTCCAAACCTGTCGTGCTTTTTTGGGCCTCAGGGATGTTGGATGCTTCCATTGTGACGACTGGACCTTGGTTTCCGGGTCATATCCATACACCCACGACTCGTCACCAATGATCACAGTCTTCAGAAACTCAGTATCCCTATTGGCGCACTCCAGCATGTCCTGTGCGACCTCAAGGCAGAGTTGTTGCTGCTCCGGCGAAAGCAGCCTGGGCACAAATTTTGCCGCCACTCTTCGCATGCCCAAACCCTCAGTTAAAATCGTGTTTGCGGAATCTCTGCTGATCCCAACCTCATCAGCAATTTCCCGGACGGTCCTCCATGATCAATGTCCGCATTTTGTCAATGACATCAGCATTTCGGCTCGTTGACGGTCTCCCGGAACGCTGGTCGCTGTCTGCCGACATCCGGCCATCTTTAAAGCTGTTGAACCACTCTTTAATTTGAGTGACCCCCATTGCATCATCGCCGAAAGCCTGCTGAATTTTGCGGATTGTTTCCGCTTGGGTATCCCCAGGTTTCTAACGAAACTTGATGCAGTATCGCTGCTCAAAGCGTTCCGTCATCTTGAGCGAAACGAGAATGCGACGAACACGTGTTACACCACTTCGCTATCTGGCACAGACAGACGCATCCAGCGGTGCTGCAAGGAAGCAAAAAATCACGCATGCACATGAAAGTCCCTTCTACCACTACGCTCAGTTTCCCCACCTTTTCGCCATTACTTACCGCGGGAAAAAAATAAGGTCGGATACTTTTTTGACAGACCTCATATAAACACCACAACATTAAGACATTGGCAAGTTCTATGCATTCTTATGCTTGGAAATAGGTAGGTGTGAGTGGTCATGCTAATACTTTGAATTCCTTACCCCTGGAGAGAGCGCCTGCTACCGTTTGCGTAGGAAGCCGAGCAGTCTTCAGACCTGATATGGGCAATGTGAAGAGAAAAATCTGTGCCCCTAACAGGAATTTCACTACTGTCATCTAACCAGTAGGCAGTATCAATCACTTTCGTGAATAACCTGCCCTGATTCGTGTTAGTCAGAGTAAGAATACTGGGTGGAGGGGGGATACATATTTTTTAAATATTTCAGGTTATCATGGCAGTGAGATGGCTGTCGTCTTGGTTGTTGCACAAAAACAACCCAGAAGACAGCCATCTTCAATTTGTGTCATTGTGTAAATTTGCAGATTGCTAAGCAGCTCAGATTTCAAGTTTTCATTGCCTTGTTATGATACTGGATTGCTGTAATTTGTCTCATATTGTGTTAAATAGTTGTTGATTGTGCATTTTAAAAATTCTGATTTGTCTGCAAATAATTTAATTCATTTCTGTTTCAGATTTTATTAGAAATGTTACAGAATCCATTTGGCAAATGAATGGAGAAACCATGTTGAGACTTGAATGGATGGAATTTTTTTATTGTGAAGGAAAGATAAGATTTCCTGACAAGATGTGACCTGAGCAACCCAATTGGATGGACTGCAGGAGAATGAAGAACATGAAGAATTGCCACATTCTAGAACGAACCCCGGACTTGCCACCATCTGCTTATCAGTGAAACAAAATAAGAAACAAATATATATAATAAGATAGTTCATAATTTTTATTGTAGTGTGAAGATATGTTTAGCTATGCTGTCGATTTTTCCAGTTGTATCGTATTTTTTATTATAATTACTATTAGCTTTTGAATTGCAGACGAGGTTAGAATTATTGTTAATATGGATAGTGGTTGTCAAATTTTTCCATGGCATTGAAATTTGATTGATAAAATACCATGCATGTCATCAGTGGGTGGTATAGCATTCAGTACCAATGTAATAAGCATATCATCTTGGAAAGACGATGAATATATTGTCTTCTGTCAGATCGTATTAATCTGAAACGTATTTCATGATATACTGTTCGAGTATTTATGCCAGTAGTTACTTGCTTAAAGCATTAAGAAGAATTGTTTACTGTTTAAACAATTTTGTTGTGTTTAGAATTTATTGACATGTAATACTGGTGCTAGTTTTGGTGCGTTCTCTTAATGCGAGTTACTTCATCCTATGCCAGTTTCACCGCAGCATGGAGCGCCAAAAATTGTTCTGTTTCTCGTTGTGAACTTTGTTTCTTCTGAATGACACAGTGCCAAGTTATGATGAAAATTCGTAGCTTCATTTTAATATCTGCTAGCCTTTGAACTTCGTATAGTGTGAAATATGTGTAATGTATAATTAGAAACTGGGTAGGGGAAGAAAACTGAACGGATCAAGAACTCACTCATTTGTGGCTAGGGAATAGTATTTATTTCACCCATGACACACTTTCTGAAAGACATTGGTAGTAGTATTTGGACCTCTGCTCTGGTAAGTTCTTTTTCTGTTTCTTGCTACCCAAGTGAGAAACAGTAAGAATAAATACACGTGTTTGGTATTTTGTAGTTAATCGTGCCATGGAACATTCTGCAGCCGTGAAAGCGTACTAAAGAAAATAGTAAATATGGTAGGGTTTGTTAACCCGCAAAAAGTAACAAAACTGCTGCTCACATCAAAGATTTCTTCCGACATACCTTCCAAAGCTAAAACTTGAACGAGTTTAATTTTTTTGGGGGGTGGGGTGGGGGGGGGTTTGTGGTTTGTTTTCTGTCTGAACCAAATCTAATACCAGCACTGTAGATGGGAATGATAATTGTTTCTCAGAATGCCATTCTATCTTAAGATGTTTATATCAAAATGTGAACTCTACATTAGGTTATCAAAATTTATAGGCTGTCCATTGTTCATGCTTATTTTGAAAATGATCAAATTAAGACTTGAATTTATTAACTTCACTGATTTTTCTTATGTGAAGTAATTAGTCAAAACTGCAAATATTGGACACTTTTGTAGCAACAAGCTTATTGCTATTTAGCACGGTTGATCATTTGACACACTCTTTAGATTTCTGTGGTGTTGAGGAGGGAAAACTGTTATTTGTTGAACAGTTCACATCTCCTTTCTTCCAAAAAGAGATTGCTATGTGATTTGCCAATATTGGCCAGAGATTTGTGGCCTAGTTTGCTGACGGAAGGAAGCAAAACTATCAGCGATACTGTATGGAGAACCGAATGAGCCATACCTTTAATTTTGTCACATTCCAGTCAAATGGCAAGCATTAACTGTGTTGCCTTGTAGTAAATTTTTTTTGTTTTTGTTTCATATTTTTCTACGACTTTAACTGTTGTTAGTGCAGAGTTTTTTCCAATGTTGAAATATTTTTTTATGAAAATGCCTATATCAACCATACGTGAAACGAGTTTTTAAACTATTTCGTTCTTTTTTTAAAGACATATTTTTTTTAGATATTGTGCCTTTTCATGATAATTCAAAGACAGGGAAATATATATATTATAAAATACTAATCAAGAAGCCAAATTTATCTTCTAGTTGCTAATTGTTTCAGTGTTGTAGCAGTTCAAAAATGTATGTTCAGTTGATCTAGAATTGAGCCTAGTTCTTTATGTGATTAAAGCTGTGGATGCTGATGGAGATACACACATTGATCCTGTAGCAAGAGGTTTTAATATTTCCGAATTAACTGAATCATATTTGTAAAGTTATTTTTGACATGACTTGAAAAGGGACCTCCATTTGGTTACTTACAATACCTTACTATGAACCTTTTTTGTGATAGTAAATATAGATTTTTGCATAATTTTCAGGTTAGAAGAAGCATTTAAAGTCGTAAGAAATCAATATAGATTTCTTAGTGGAAATGATAGCTTCAGTTAAGGGTTGGTGTTAAAATACGCCGCTGTAATTATGCAGTGAATGAATGACGAACTGATGATATAGTGAATATTAAGCAAACAGCTCTCAACCAAAAACAATAAGACCAACTATAGATTTTATAGTTAATTGGTTGGTAACTGACATATACTAACACACCGTTAAGTTGTGATTGTTTGATGGATAATTGAATTCGTTCATATTATAGGCAAATATATTTATCAGTTTTTCCAGATTCTGGTTTGTTGGTTGTGACACCCAGTAGCTCAGATCAGTTGGTTGGTGCCATTAATAAATCAGTTCTGGAGTTATTACTGTTTAAAAGGATCTTTGAAATGTCAGGTTTTACTAGAAATTTAGAGCTAATATTGCTGTAGTACATTCATAGTGTTACTGCATTCAGAAGTGCGGAAAGATTTTACAACGTCGAAATTGGTGAAGTAAAAATAAGAGAGATTTAGTTTATTTTGGTACAATTGAATCAATGGTAAGATGGTAACTATTTTTTAAGGATCACATTACTGACACAAGAATCCATACTGAAGATTAAAAATAAATTGTGTGTTGTATTTACGCAAGTATGTGTTTCATGAAGAAGAAGAAGAGGAAGGCAGAATACAGAAGCATACACTTTTTTTTAAGGGTTTTGACATTTACACAAAGAGACTTATTTGTTAGTTGAGATGACAAAACTATATTCCACTATTCTCGTTTGTAAGAAACAACCAGATGCACAGACGGACACTTGCGTGCAACTCCATCTTGATGGATCATGATGTGAATAAAATAAAAAGGACTTTCAATGTTGGTTTCCACATTGTAAGGAACACAACTCACAGCTTTACGAGGAAGTGTGAAAGTTGCACCTGATAAATCGTGGTGCAAGAATTAGAATTTAGGTACAGTTATTAGAAATGGGAAAAAAGTTGTAGAAATAGTTTGTACTGTAAATGTAACTGAGTGGAATTTGGATGCCATTGCTGCTTTTCCATTAGATGTAGTGTAGGAATATTGGATTATTGGTAGTTTTGGTAACATTGTGTCTTTTTTTTAAAACAAGTTCTGACTGAGGTTAAAAAAATTTGTAGATTTTTAAGGGGGAAAATCCAAGTTTCACTTAATGTTCTGATGTGAGACTCCATATGTAGAACTTAGGTCAAGGTGGGTCTTCATTTTATTGTACAGTAGTAAGTAAGTTCCCTGGCCTTTTTCTTTTGTAATGTGCATGTCATTTAAGTTCATGTCAGTAAATCTAAAAGAACTAGTTGTTGTGTTTGTCCAGATGTGTTGGTTTAATGTTTTCTGTGTGAAAGAAAAGAGTAGTTTGTAGTCATAATTAGGTGTTAACTGAGTGGCAACAGTGAGTTGCATTAGAACAGGATTGGTAGTTTGTAGTGTTCGAGAGGCTGAGTCATAGTGGGTGGGCAGACAGTGTCTGGCAGGCAGTGATCAGAGTGGAGAAGAGAATGTGCCCCCAATATTGGTCAAGTTTAAGTGCCCTTAGTTTCTCCCCCCCTCCTCTCTACCAACTCACAAAGTGAAGTCCTAGTCTTTAAATATCTTTCCAAAATGAACGTTCCTAAGACGGTCTGTTCATTCGGTAGGCATGTTGATATTGACGTCACCATCATCCAATTAAATGTAACTTTCTGTTGGTCGTGTATTAGCGGATCTTTCTCGGTTCCATTTCATTATTTTGTTGGGTCAGCATTCTTTAATTAGATGTTTTATTGTTTCAGGCAGCGTATTTCTAAGGTTACGTGGGGATAAAACCAAATGTTAGGTTTGGAAAGCCACTCTTTAAATTTGTGTAATCATCACCAGTTATGTCAATATTGGACTGTCATATTGATGAACCATACAACAGCATCCAAATGGATGCATGTGGCCTGTCTTGCCCCAGTTTGAGTGTCCTTCCACTCCGCAAGAATGCCTGATACAGTTTTTGAATTAGCAGAATAATGTATTATGGACAGGGAACCAAGCCATATGAAGAAGTATAGTGAAGAATATTAAAAAATTAAGATAATAACTAAAAAAGAAAACTTTATTTTGTTACACAACTTTTTTGTGAAAATAACATAAAAGTCTTTTTCTTGTTGTCGTGTTAATAAAAGTGTGCTGTGTTTTTTGTAGACTAGATTTTTCTCTCTTTTCTCCGAAAAAAGAACATCAGAATGAAAGAAAGGGATGGCTATAAAATACTGAGAGCCTGCAAGCAAATGCAAGACGGATCAACTACAGACTTCCGTTAGATTCGGAAGGTAACCCTGACTCTGCTACTGTTAAGTTCCTTGTAAATATTTGCTAGAATGCTATGTTTCAGCCTCAAAAGTAGTTAGGATTTAAGAAAACAAAAAAGTTTAAAATACTTTAGATATTAAGAAGTGAATCCTTGGAGAGTGATGGATACATGGACCAAAGTTTGGTGCTGAAAAGTACGAAGATCTTGGACAGAGTTTAGCATTCCAGTCTTCCCCTCGTCAGAAGATGCACCACAAGTGAGACGTCATGGTCTCAATGAAGTGCCAAGTTCTGGTTTATGTAATGTAAAGTGTTGAACAAAGTTCGTCGGAAAGAGACTTCATTAGAAGTGAAAGAAAAGAATTAGAGAGGGTAACTCGCAATTTGAAAAAAACAAGGCAAAATTCAGAGAGACTTCAGAGCAAGGATTTAGTATTTGTGTTGCTGTTGGATTTTGAATTGTCACTTGGATGCTAAGATTAGAATAAGCCTACAATCAACTTAATTGGATGTTGTGGTGCATATTCATTTGTACGGAGCTTCTTGTTGGTTAATTTTTGTTAATGGTGTAGCACCTTCTGTTAACATATTCTAATACCTTATTGAGCTATATTTTACTGCATAGTTCTGAAAGTTGAAGTTGTTTGTTGAATTGCTAGAAAGATAAGTGTCGCTAATCTATATCAGCAATTACAAAGAATAAATCTCGGAATGTGTCCGCACTTTCAGGTGGAATGAAATGCACTGGTTCAAGCTTGTTCTACTCCATGCATTGGATCTTGCATTTACCTGTGAAAACATTTGTATTAGTCAAATGTAAGTTGTGGAAATGTAAGTCACACACAAAACCAGTAAAAAATACTAGATGCTTGATACACGCGCAAAGTATGTTTGATAATTATCGTTTTATCCCTCCTACAGGAATCTAGGTTTATTTTTGTAATAATATTTGGGTAGATTTTCACCCCCTTACAGTATGTAGATGTTTTCTTTCTCTTCAAGATCTTTCACTAATTCTAATTCTTTGCAGTTGTTGGTTTATTGGATGGATAATGTGATGTGATTTGCAGAAGTTTACTGAGGCTGCTACGTGAAATAACATATGATTCCAAAGAGTTTCCTTGCCTTGTTCCCAAGGATTTTTTATTGTATTGTATTATATTAGTATATCATATTACATAAATTAGATTAGTTCTCTTCTTCAGATGTTTCTGTAAACTATGATAGTGTCATGACTGTAATTTATGACAGTTGTGGTGACTGATTTGCTACACTTCCTGGCCATCATTGCAGCAGTCTTGAATCTTCCTGTTACGTACTGAGGCAAATGAAGGAAGAAACTCATACGAGATGAGGGTGGGAGAAGGAACATGGCAGTGTGGTTCATTTTAACATTATTTACGAGAACTACCATTCAATTATAAAACCGACACTGCCAGGAAGCAGTGAGGGTGATATGTTGAAAATATTTATACAGAACTTTTTAAGTACCATATCACATAGGGTATATGAATTATTGCTAGTTGGTTTCCTTTGCTGTTCTGAACGACGTTATAGATACAGTTATGTGTACGTTAACTTCGGATGAGGGTTAACAGTTTTTTTTGCACTTGGCCAGTGTTTTATCACTGCAGTGTAACATCGTGCAATTGGAACTCAGTACAAGGACTAATTTGCCTCTTTTGTGTTCTGACACGGTAATTGAATGATAATCATTGAAGAGGAAATTTTTATGTTACTTAGAAATGACCAGTTAACAAAGGTTTTGTATGTAAATATGGTAGCTGTCATATATTTCGGGTGTTCGTTATTTCAGTATGTTTCCCCGCGTACCGTTCGATGGCCTGTCTTAATCTTGGTGATCTGAGTGTAAACTTTGCAAGGTATCATTCACATCTAAGCCTGTGATAGAAATACTAATATCACATAAATAAAACATTTGCCTTCAGATTAAAAGCGCAGTTTTTGTCACCCATGGAAGTGCCTCATTGGAAAATGTTATATGTTATAAGATTGATTCTATTTTCACATAACTTGGTGTTGCGTATATGACACTGCTGTTTTCTTTGATGCAGCCTGTGTTACATATTCCTCCATATTTAAGTAGCATAAAGGAAAGTATTTTTTCATCTAGAAGTTTTGTATTAAGCAACTTTCAAAATGTTGTTCATGATTTAGGAATTATAGCTTTACACGAAGTATTGTCTTCAGTACATGCAAGTGAGCAGTTGCCAACACAGTACAGGAATCAGAGAATCAAGATTTAAGACGTGCAAGGTATTTTATCGGTGAGATTCTTTGTTTGGATGGCTGGAAGTTGTAGCTAACCACAACTAGTATGAAGTGTAGATAATTGGAGTTGTTTTTCTGTATTTACGCTGTAGAACTGTGACTGTTGGCTCAACATTCATTTGTATAATGGGCAAGAAACTCCGTACACTTGGGTATTCCACAAATAGTTTAGCCCCATCTAGATAACTGTTTTACTACATTTACCGAGTATCAACATGTGGCACATTACAAAATGGGTTCTTCCTGCAAATAATTTGATTTGTTAAGAATGTACAGCTGTTGCATGTGACTGATCAGTCAGTGGGGTATCACTGTAATGGTGGGGGGGTGGGTGCGCAGTAAAGAAGGAATTATGTGTAAATGCCACATTTTAAATCTCCACAATTTTCAATCCTATTATTGTGACGGTGATAATCAGTGCTCAAGATTTAAACAGACATTCCTCTGACAATATGGAACTGAAGGAGAAAAGCAGTTGTCCAGATGTGGGCATTAGTTACTGTGTTGTGTGACTGGAGAAAAGGCATGGATGACGGATATTTAAAGAGAATTAAAAAAACATCCAAAAAAAGTGTCTTAAGATTTTATCAGTTGGTTTCAGAAAATGCAGATGAGAGCAACAACTTCTGTTGCTAATTGGGTTTCCCCTCTTCTGATCAATAAAGATCTTATATTGGGAAGAGATGTCTAAGATTTTTATCAAATCCTGCTTCATAGTTTCATAAAATAATGCATTTTTCAAGTTATAATTCCCCTCTTATCATCTTGATAAAATGACCCCACCTGCTTCAACATTGACAAACTGTATTTTGTCCAGAAAGTTTATTTATGGGTTTTGTATGAATTTTTAGAGTAAACTGACTACGTCCTTAACAGCATTAAATCATTGTTCTATCCAATGGTGAAATATTGTGTTTGAGGTACAGACTGAATATTTTATTATATTTATATGAATTTTCGTTTCAAAGGGCTAATGCTTCATGGTCTGCTACAGAATATGCTGTTTATTTCCAATTTGATTGTTTTACAGGACTGTAGTATCACATGTTTATTGCTTACATTATCTGCATTCTCTTGTTTATAATTTATATACAGTGAAACCTCTATCCATCGTTCCCGGAACTATCGTTTTCCCGGATGCATCGTCCGTTTTGTTCGGTCCCGAATACATCCCATATAAAATAATGTTACATTTTCCCGCTTCTATCGTTCCTCGAACTATCGTTTTATCGCATCAAAAATCTTAGTCCCGGCCCACAATGTTCCCGCAATGATCGTTTCTGAGAAATTGTAACGAAATTTACGTGATATTTTTAGAATTTAATTCCGAAAGACGCACAATGTTTTTGGAATACACAGTAGCGGTAACCTGTTATGTCGCCCAACCAGCACAGATCCTTTTGGAATGAGGGGTCAGCGGTGCAGGGGTGATAGTTGGAGTGAATGGCGGTGCTCATTGTCAGAAATTTTACGATTTTAATTAGGGTGCACTCATATTTCGTTCCAGCGATGCCAGATGGCATGTGCAGTGTGAATTTCTTCACAAATGCTTTTATTACAAGGACAAAGGAAAGGCGAAAGTGCTGCTGTGGATGTGGAAATAACGGAGCTGTGGCTCGAGAGACTGCCAACTATTCATTATAAAACTGCATGTAAATACATGACTTTCATGTGTGGTTGTCTTTGGTGGGCAGTATGAAGCAGCTGATGCATACATCAGGCACCATCGATACAGAGTAGATGTAATGCGAGTCAGGGAGGAGGCAGAAGAGTAGTGTCGGGAACGGTGACTGCAACGTGTATTGGTACAGTCCCTACCAACATCCAAGGGGCCTCCCTACAGCGTATCAGGAAATGGAGCAGGAATTTACCTCCCCAGTTGCAGTCCAACCACCTACATTGCTAAGGGAGGAGGAAGGTGGTCTGTGACTTTTGAACCAATCTACAATTTTCTTAACAGCTGTCAAATGTATCAGTAAAGGCATGTCTGTCATCCTATCACCACCACCTGTTTGATATTTATGAAGTGAGCTATTAAAATTTAAAATGTCACATTGTAGTGGTAATGGCATCAGAGTGGGGGTTAGTCAGTTCATATGAGAGCTGCAGAACTTTGCTATGGAGTGTGAATCTGTCGAGCCTTCGGAGATTTCCATTTGGAATAGGTAGTTAATGAGCGTGTTAATTGAGAAAGTTGTTTTGGCAAATATGGCAGTCAATGGATGTTGCTGAAAGTCATGGAGTGTCCCTCAGTTGAATGGGTCACATGAATTGACCACAAGAAATTTGTCGTATCCAGGCAATATACAGTATATTGCCAGAGGTGGAGCATACCCAAGAAGCCTCATCCAAGAAAAGTTTACTCTGCCATCTCCTCCACCCACTGGGAATATCAGTGGCTGGCAAGGAGGCGCAGAAGAAGCTGTGAGGTGCATTTGCCACAGGACTGCCCTGCTATCTTCTACAGGTGTCAACAGAAGAGGCACATATCTACACTCTGAGGGGGCAAAAAATAAAATTCAGTTTAGTAAATGTTTATCAAGGTGTAGCCAAAGCGATGTGATAATCTTCCAATCACTTACACCTTAAGTAAGGACGAATCAAAATTGCTTGTCAACCACGGAGACAAATATTATTGACAGTCAAGTAGGGCTTATGTTAGGGTGTATAAAATACACTGCCAAGTACAAAGAATGAGTCAATTACGAGGTACAGAGTCAGTTCTAGAAGGACATTACCCAGATCTTCCTCAAGGCTTATGCCTTCCTGTATGTGTGCTGAGGGCAGTCTTTGAAGCTGAAGCAAACAAGTTGGCAAACACTGATGTTATTAAGCCAGTCGGTCATTCCCATTGGGAGTCCCTGTGCTCGTAAGAACCAGAGAACGGCATATTTTACCTTATGCTAATAAATTGTAATCGTGCAATCAAACTGGACCACAACATACTCAATCTGTAGACAATATTTACAATACCTTTACAGGCTGTGAAGTTCTTGGTGACTGCAGCACTTAGCTTTTTTCAGTTTTAGTTTACAAAATACTGGTACTTACACCTTTCACCAAGATGTAGTTTTATGATATATTTATTGGAATTTGGCATGAAGGAAGGGCATTTGCCAAGTGTGCTGTCTTAGCTATTATGTTTTATGTCAGCATTAGTGAGGAAAAAAATTACTGTGAAATGTGAAGTCGTTTCTTGGGATTTAATCTCTCCAGTCAGTGACACCAAATATTCATTGTTCCGTATGTATGGTGGTTAGGGCGTTGACATTGACGTGGTCTTTGGACTGTGACAAACATAGAGTTTGTATGGAATTGGAAAGAAATTAGCTGTTGTGGGATGGATACTAATTTACCGGAATTATGAGGATTTTAAATTTTGTTATTTGTCTCAAGGTAGACTGAGGTATGGCTAATGTCAAAGTCAGATGCTGCATGAGTCATTGAATAGACAACTTTTTAGGTGTATTCAAGACCCTGAATGTAATTTGTCTGATGCTGTACCCTGTTGAAGGTGAGCAGTAACAGCTTCTACACTTACCCATGCACTATCGAGAGATTATCAGGGGCTGCAATGAGGGCAGTTAGGATGATTAAATGATTGTTACATGTAGTAATGTGTCAGAATCACAAAATGTGTTCAGTTTAGGTGAAAAAGGATTTACTTGAATCAAAAAGGTTTACATTCCATCTACATAAATGTTATACATGCACACATTCTGCTGTGTGTTTTAATGAATCAACAGGATAATTTATACCTTCAAGTAAAATGTCAGAATTTAAGCATTATCTCTTATAAGTCCTTAGAATGAAATTTATTTAGTAGCACATACCATTAACTTCATTCACTAGATGGCTTTCATGCTTGAATGGCAACGAGCTTATATCTCAAAATTCACACTCTTAACATGATAGTACTTCCTTGTAAAGTTTTACCCAACTCAAGATAACTCCTCTGTAGCTTTTTCTTTGCCTTGGCGCTTTTTCTTCGCTGCCTTATCGGCCATTTCACACACTGTTGCCCGCTGTGGAAACAAAGGAATTTGTTAATATCAGTCTCAACGAAGAATAGTACTTTGCAAAAGGCTGCCTTCTGGCATGTTGTGCCACATGGTCTGATGTTCCAGAGGTGCGTACTGCCTCCATCATCAGGACTACATGGCACGACTTCCGAGAAGATAGTCCTCTTGAAATTCGCCACTCTGGGAATCTCAAATCTCACTAAAGTATTTTCAATTACGGCAGTCAGCTGTTCAAAAAATTACAACTGGTTTATTATAAATTACTCATGATTAAGTAGGATTTCACACTTTCAAGGTGGTGAGTCTGAAGGCGGCTGTCTTCTGGGTTGTAGCACCATGTAGTATGGTAACAGTTTAATGATGTTTCAGAGGTCCTTGCCCCCTCCATCAGGGCCCTTTGAAACATTCGTAAACTAGCAGATTACACGGCGCTACAACCCAAAAGACAGCCATCTTCTATTCATGATTATTCAGTACTGACTTGTAAATTTACCAGAGAAGGATTTCTTCTTGTAAGAAGTTTTACATCCTCGGCATTAATTGTGGTACGTTTAGCGTGCCTGAAATAAGTGAAAAAGATAAACAATTTTGGTAAAGTGCATGACATGTCACAAAGTACAATTCCACCCCATTTCCAGTCAGGCTGGTGGTAACAGATGACTGTCTAAATTACATCACATCCAGAATTAACGGAACATTACCTTGTGTTTTCACGCTAGTTACATTTTATTTTGTCATAATCAATTTGAAGAGCATGGATGTTCAAGTTCTTTCATGGTGGAGGTCTGAGTAAAGAAAATGGTGCAATTAAGAAAGCGGTACAGCAAATTCTGTCAAAACTTTATAATAGTGTTCACATTCTTTCTGAGCTGGTAAAATGCATAGTTCAAACAAGAACAGAGTTATATAAACAAGACAAGGCCAATAGAAGCTACCAGAATAAAGAATTTGAGATGAATTTTCAAATTCCCTATGTGAATAGTGTGGTTCCTACACCAAATGTTGAACACATATTAATAATATAATTTTTTAATCAATTAGTATTTACTTTATATAACCCTATTTTGAATTTTATTGCTCTCAGGTCTACACAGATACTTTTACTGTACTCTATTAGTATGGAATTTATTATGATCTTTTGAGGAATCCTGTTTTAACTAATGCATATCTGATATATTAATTACAACTGAAAATACAGCAAAAATCTTAGCTCTTAAGTTATCAATAATAACAAAAGAGGACAAAAATTAAATGAACTGTACATGTCACAGTTAAGATCATATTTAACCTCCATTTGGCCACACCTCACATTCTCCCACCACAGTTTTACTTCACCATACAGAGGGAAGCAGGCATCATGACAGCTTCACAGATCTTCTCATTTCTTAAGGTACAACGACTCACTTTGCAAAATGTTCCAAGTCTTGGCTGATCACACGCATTTTTTTCCAGATGAGTTCACCAATGAGATTGATAACATCTTTTTCCAGCTCCATTTTTATTTGTCCTCCCACCTCTTGACATATTTTGGAAACATCTCTAAGAACACTGAGCCGCAGCTTCTGCACACATAATAGAAAATGAATATTACAAACCATTACTGTGACATCACTGTCATATTACACCTATTAAGTAGGATTTCTATAAAATTATATGACTGAATGGGTTTCTGAAATACAGCAATTAAGTAGTCAAATTTATGCTCACAGAAAGTAACCATGGACTAGCAGAACCCAAGAAATAAAGTTTCACTTTGCATAACACTAAAATATCTTACTCAATTCTTATAATAGTCTGTTGTGTTGAAACTAGATTTTAAATCATCAGGAATAGCACCTATAAACATACATAACATACAATTTTTATCTCACTGATTTATCAGTGCTAGGTGTGCAAGTCCTAAAAATTTGCAACATCAAAAAGATTTTTGGAAAATTGTCACAAATCAGGTTTACCAATTCTTTAAAAGATATATGTTGAGATACAATTCTCACATTCATTTAAGGTCCAAGTGATTGTTTTGGTAAATTACAAGTATTATATGACTTAACAAGGTGTAAACCAGCAATGATACTTATGTTGCAGTTTTTCACCCCCTAATTATTACTGTGTCACTTAGGAATTGTCATTAACATAGTTCATTACCATGAATATTTAAGATGAATTTAAAAAGATAAAAGACAGTCTGGATAGCCTGCCTGGTATCCTATCTATATTAGCTTCTACCTTCAGGCATAATTAAACCTATATTCTACCAGTATTGCCACATATGAGAGTTAATTAAGGTGAAAATCCTATAAATTATATTGCTTATCGAAGTTTAGGGTGGAAGACGTGACAAATTTGTCATCCAAGGCAAAACAAGTTATAGATAGATTTATGATCGGGTACTTCTTTCTTATGATTAGGTTAGGTTACATTAGATATTGGCAAACGTATTCAGCACATTAGACTGTGCTTCAGGGTTCTTTTACATGCATATTAAAATATAACACGTACTTCTTCATGGCTCAGACCTTCCATACTTCAAACACCTATCACCGCCACTATTTTCAAAACATAAAATCCAGCAGCGACCACATACACCAAAGGGCACGGATTACACATTCCAGTTTCCTGTTAAGTTACACCTGTCACGGATGTGTAGTAGTTGTAACGAAAGTCTTGCCATCTCTCGCCTAATAGGGAACTCACAACGAATGTGATGTGGTAACGGTGTTCTGTCGGTAAAATGACCAACTTCTAGTGCAATTTGAGTTCTCATGATGATGTCGAATGCGGTCTTCCAGGCTGAGATGCGGTGTGGATATGGCTGGTTAGCGACGTTTCGGAGTAACGTATCCTCTCCAACTCCAATGTTCAACCCTGATGCCTCCCTCTGAAACGTTGGTAAACACATACAAGAGCACGGATCTGCTGACAAAATATTATTTTATTTGTTGTTTATTTAACGACGTTTTTAGTAGCTTAGATTATGTGGCATTGTGTGATAGAATGAATTATGAATAATTAACGATGGAAAGAAGCGGTCGTGTCTTATTTAAGGGGCCAGGAAAAACACGAAAGTCATTCAGGATTACCGGTGTCATGGCCGTGGATTGGACTCCCCGACAAATACGAAATCCTTTAAAATGGTACAGAAACTTATTGTAATGTTATATCGATGTATTTATTTTTAATTTAAAAATGGCTCTGGCTTTCCTGTGTTGGCTGCCAAGTTGCAACTCGTACGTCTTTTTTTTTACGCAACGAAATTAACTTTCTGCCCTAGAAATTAGACAAATTTCGACCCTCACAAAATTAGTTTTAAATCAAAACTACTTTTATGACGACAATGAGGTCTACAAACAAACCAATGGATTAGCTGTAGGGGCCCCTACATCCATCTTATTATCCGACATTACTGAAGACATGTCGATGATGTCCTCATTATATACGTTTCATTCAAAAAAAGTAATGTAGAACCAGTACTTATATCTTCCCTGTAAAATGGAGACAAGATAATTCCCTCAGATTTTTAGACTCTTAACTCTCAAAAGCAACAACAGTGAATTACTGTTCAGTAAATCTAGAAAACCTTGAGCCACAAACGTAATTATAAATTACCATTGTTGCCACTCTCTGGAACATAACATATTTAGCGGTAAATTTCCCGTTACAGATTGTCCAGAATTATCCCATATCAGAAAAGAAGAACTAAGAACGATAAAACACATTCTAAACTACAGCGTATTGGGATCAGAGGAACAAAATCAATGCCTGAGAGAAAAGAGAAACACACAAAGTGGATTACAACAATTTTATGGGTAAAAAAACAAGGAGAATCAATAATAACATTTAAAAATCCTAGTATAAGAATTGCATTCAGTACTAACAACGAGACAAACAAAAATCACGCATCAGAACACACAAATGAGAAGAAAATCAAGACAATGGGTAATGAATATCCAGGAAGTTAGTTATTGTAATAATAAAAACCTTCAGATTTAATGTAAATAACAGTGGCTTTTATCGATTAAAATGCACAGATTGCAATAAGAATGTGGTGAGATTCAGATTCTCACGGCAGTAGGCATCACTGTAACGTTGGAAAACTTCTACCAAACTACACAGCTCAACGACTCTGAAGACAGCGGTATTCAGTAAAGAAATATGTTGGTCAAACTGGGCGAGGTTTCTCCCAAACATATACAAAAACATATTAATAAAATTGGATGTAACAAAATAAATCGTTGTATTTTAGAAATGGGTCATAAGAACTGACGAAACACTTATATACTCCGGATGAACAAGAGGGGATTTTCCTGGACGTTTTACAGTCAAGCCAATATCAAACACAACACGCGCCATGACTGTGGCACAGACGATCACATGTAAGACGTAATCGTGGCCCAAACATCGTCACAGAAACGCAGAATACAGCGCACAGCTCACCGGGGCGGTTCAAGGCCAAGACCACCGCTTGAACAGGACACGACATCAGACCAAATACGTAAGTCACTTTCCACACAATACCCCGACTTCCAAAAGCAAATAATTAGATCACTTAAGAGCGCACGTCTTTTACTTATGACCATTTTATATACTTTTATGTACTTTATCATTGCAACAATTTGTGTTTAAGAAAAACCAAGGCCGGTTTCACAAAATAAAATAAAATCACGAATAGAATTTATTAGTTTCGTTCATGCCATAGAAAGGCCAGAGCAACAGAGACCATGATATCAAAATGTGCAGTCTTATCTTATTACGCAGATTTAACCTTTAATTCTTACTAGCATTTAGCTGTTTCATTTACAAGAAGCATATTTTGATGTCTCATAATTTACGTAAAAGTTAACGATATGCACTGTAATATTACATCGTATTGTATATTTCAAAACATAAAAGTGTCGAATTCAACAATAATATGGATCGAGAGGAATGACGAATTAAGATTTGGGCGTAATAATCATTTTTGTGCAGATTAACAAAGCCCTCAACTCTTTAGCATATGTTTGGCAAGGCTGATCGTTCATCTGTGGTCTACTATGTACATGATTTTTAACGTATATAATTGCTTTGCAGAAACAATACAGGGAAATAAATTAATAAAGAAGATACGAGGTTTTTTGGATTGTAGCGCCGTGTAGTCTGGCAGCAAGAACATCTGAAACGTCGGTAAACTTCTACCAGGATACACGGCGCTACAACACAGAAGACAGCTGAAAGGAAAAAATGTTCATTCATCCACAGCCTGTTTCTTATACAACGCAGCAAAACAGATGTTTACGTGTTGCACTTTGCAATAAAAATATGTTCTCTTAAGTACTGCTTTAGATTATCCCGTCGTTTTCACGGCCAATTTTATAATGTACAGGGATTAGCAGAATAGAATGACGGGCGCAAATGTGAAGAGCTGGCAAGATACTGATAGACTGAACAACTGGTTAATGATAAGTTGAATTCTTTTCCCTCGTTTTACATTTTCGAAACAGAATCACAAATGGCTAATAATATTCATTAATTACGTGAAAGTTACCTCTCATGCTCTTAACAGACATTTTTATAACGTAGGAGGTTTCAAAATAAATCTTTACTAAACCAGAAGAACCACAATAACCTCATTTCTTCCAATCTTCTAGCTAAATAAACACACTGACCAATAAAATTACCTGCACTGTCGCTGAAATATCTCGCTGTTAAAATGGATACTACTGTTTCCTAGATGGCGTTGACGAAGTAAATGTGACAATATGTTTAAGTACTTCAACAATAGATGGCATGAGAAGATTTATCATTCATTTCCTAAAGAAGGAAAAGGCGAACAAATTTCGAATACTCGCAATCGTAGAATGACGGAGACTTGACATATTTCCACAGCGCCAGGAAAAAGAAGAGAAGCAAATCCGATTTTGAACATCATATAATTTCGAATTATGAACGGGAATTGACCAAAAAATTAACTAGCGTTCTCCGATCAGCTATTCGCTCAGGTAGGCTAGAAATTTACCGCTTTGAATGGAAGCCCTCACGAGAGACCGCCACCGGCGCTATCCTGAGCTGCATGAATCTAGTCCATATCCTCCCGCCACATTTGTCTCTCGTATGGCCTCCTTTCAGCATTTCCATTCGCACGACCTTCATGATGCAGCACCGCATGACGTATTTTTCTCCAGCCTCTTGACATTTCATCCACCCTAGGTTCCTTTAATACGAGGGACCCAATTTCACATTCATGTAAGGTCCCGAGCAAAATTATGGTTTTGAATATTTTTACGTTGGGGCTTTTAAGATAGGAATAAAAAAGACTATGAATTGAATAATAGCAAGAATTAATTTCATCTGCTTTTAACTTCTTTAATTTTGATTTCTTTCTGAGGCGGCTTTGGTTCGTAATAACTTCACCTTTGCTAAAAAAAATCGCACGAAATAACATGTAGTCAGATGGCTACGAATTTTATGAGAATTTCTGAATTTAAATAATGTATATCGTGCCACAATGAAGTTGAATAATATTTTTGATCTGGTTTATGAGACACAAAATTTTATGGTCATACTATATCTTTCTTTGCACATTACGTAACTCGAAAGACTGCGAAATGTCAGCACGTAGTGACGCAACCGTACATCTGATACGGAATCAGGTAGAGTTTAACTCTTGAAATTGCAAAATGACCATCTTCATGAGACAAAAAAACGTTTAATAGCAAAGAGATTTCTTTATTACTGTGGATGACAAGAACCTGTATCGAGCAGTAATCTAAATCTGAAGGCTTTTGACGATGGTACGTTATAATATACAAATCTTCCTTTTTGGACTTTGCCCATCGTCTAAATAATAAAATAACAAACTACAACTTTTCGGAAGATGGATTCTGTTTCCGTTTTTACAAGCCTCAGACCTGTAACAGCCAAACCAGGGGGCTCTGCGTCATCTTTGAACCTTTTGTACCTGAAGATTGTCAATGAACGCCATCTTCAACCAAAGACCCACAAATTGCTACTCCCTGCCCTTTGAGTGATCCTTTGTCTTAGAAGCAAACAGTCGTAAGTCAGCCATATTTAAAGTTCCCAAACTATAATCGTTATTTTATTTAAAATGACAGATGAAACTGTGTTTTAGTTTCTTGAATTTATGATTCCTTATCCATGAACCATTTGTAAATTTTTGTTTTAAAAATAATGTATTGAAACAGTTCTTTCCATCTGTCTGTCCTGACGTTGCAACTATTTATGTTGATTTAGAATAGACATTATGAATTCTCTTGTCAAATTTAAATACGTTTCCTAGAACTTCGTCTTCAGACACCCTCAGTTCATGCCCTTTCTTCACAATGAAAGCTGAAGTTTCACACTAACATAAATTACAGTTTTACAACGCTACCAGACACGTGTTTATCAGTTACACGTGGTACCCAGCCACTCAATGGCCCCCTCATCACCAGGATTCATCACACACACTTCCATCATTAACACACGTTGAAAGTGTTGGCTAATTATACCACTGTGGACTTTCCAGAGATTCAGATCTCGTGTCCCAAACGCCGTAATTCATTAGAAGTGTCACCGGTTTACCGTACCGCCCCAATTAAAACTAATGCTCATCTCGTTTTGTACGTAATTATAGATTCTGTGGGATTTTGAGATAGGCGAGTGGC